CGCTGGAAGCAGACCAGGTAGGATATTCCTTGGTCTCTCCACCTGTGCCGGCCCTCCTTGAGGAGGAAGGCTGCCACAGATTAGGCAGTGCCAAGCTAAACGAACAAATGATTTTGCTTCGTTAAAAGAAAGTATACAGGGCTGTAAACAATCCCACAAAGGATTAGCCTACATTTTTTTTTAAATCAGCCTGCCATGTTGTCATCCCACCAAGAGAATTCTAGCCATTGTAGTTTGTTGTTTTTAAAATTATAGTAGGACCCCTGTATCCAAAGGATCAGTATCCACGGTTTCACTTATCCACATTCTGAAGGTATTAAAATATTAATTAATAAAAGCCTGTAATTTACCAGACCTAGCCATCAGAGGGAAGCAGAAACAATGCTGTACATATATATATAGGGTTTGCTATTATCCGCAGTTTTGGGCACCTGCAAGGCGAACAGGGTTGGAATCCCACGTGGATGCTGCTTTGTATTTCACTAACCTGTAAGCCACCTTTCCTTGAGCCATTAAAGGGTGGAACATAATTTAACCATAAAAATCATCATGATAATGCCATAAAACAATGGAAGAAGCAACAGCAAGATCCCTTGCTCAAGGGATCACGCGCAGAGCAGGTTACTGTGCTGTGATGGAGGAGCAGGGATTTCCAAGGTTAATCACACAAAAAGACCCTAAGATCCAGCCAGGGCAGGCATTAACTGTACAAGATATAGGCCTTGGCTCTCCGAACTTTACTGAGAGCACATTATCCCATTTCTTAAACCATGTCTGTTTCCCCCTTAATCGCTTCTCCACCCCTGTTTCAGGAGAGCTTTTATCTTCCTTACAACGCGATCCGGCACAAATTAGCAAATCACAAGATGCCCTACAGTAATTATGATTCCACTGGGATTTGAAGATCATTGCATGAGCAGGAGGCCTAGGAAATGTTTTAAATGAAAGCTTCTGCCTGACCTATCGTGACTTGTGGCCATCTCCAGCTGCATTCTAATCACCCACTTTACTCAGAGCAGGCGAAGAAGAAAAGGAAAAAAAAATAGATAAATCCTAAAAAAATAGATAAATCCTACCACCGTCTGGCTTGACCTTCAAGCTGTGACATCTATAAAATGAAGTACACCCATAATTAACATGGATCCATTCAGGGACATTGGCAAGAATTTGGGTCTGAGTCTCAAGTCCCAGTAGGATTCACAAAGGCCATGAAGAAGAATCTCAAGGATGCAAAACATTAGAGCTTAAGCAAGCCATCTTCATAATCTCAAGACACTGCCATGAAGGAAAGTAATGGAAGGAAACAAGGACCAAGAAGGATGAGCAATTCTGTGCTTGAGGAGTAAAATCAGGGAGCAGTTCACTTCTAAAGAAATGAAACCCAAAGAAAATGACATTGACATGGGTAAATAACCTGGTGCCCTCCAGGCAAGGCCAGTAAGTCAGGTTCAGTGAGTACTGTAGTTTAAAACATCTGGAACAGAAATGGTAGCGGAGTGGGTGGAATCTGGAAGGCAACACCAGCTCCTACAACTCCAGATGCTGAAACTGTTTGTGCTGATTTTTCCACAACTCTCAGTGCTGAAAAGAAATTGTTACAAAAGCGGCTTTTAAATCTAAAAAGCCACTTTGTGCCCTCTAGTGCCCAAAAATATATATTTTGAAAAAAAAAATAATTATTTAGAAAATAATTCTAAATGGAATTTAGAATGGAATTTAGAAATGGAATTTAGAAAATAATTCCCAATGGAATTTCAGAGCAATGTCTTTTTTAAAAAAAAGATTTTCCATTCTGGAATTGTCTGTGAATGTCACATATGAGCATCTTACGGGCTGCAAGCTACTCACCCCTCAAAGGTTTTCTGAAGGGCCACTCATAATAAAATGGCCTTCTGGGCATTAGAGTGTAGGGAATACATTCCAGGATTTATAATACCATACTTAATAACAAAGAAATAAATGCTATAGGAGGCTCTTGAGAATCCCCTGGACTGCAAGGAGAACAAACCTATCAGTTCTAAAGGAAATCAACCCTGAATGCTCACTTGAAGGACAGATCCTGAAGCTGAGGCTCCAGTACTTTGGCCATCTCATGAGAAGAAAAGAGTCCTTGGAAAAAACCTTGATGTTAGGAAGGTGTGACGGCAAGAGGAGAAGGGGACGACCGAGGATGAGATGGCTGGACAGTGTCTGCGAAGCAACCAACATGAACCTGACACAACTCCGGGAGGCAGTAGAAGACAGGAGGGCCTGGCGTGCTCTGGTCCATGGGGTCACGAAGAGTCGGACACGACTAAACGACTAAACACACACACACAAATGCTATATATATTTTTTTACATTTGAAGTTATTTCTTCAAGGTGGGAAAATATACTAGTCTTCAACAGATGGCCCATGTCCGGTTCCTACATTTCTGTAGTTGAAACTGTACATTTCTTGTGCACCTGGGTTACACAAAACCTTGCACTCTCTCCCTGATAGCCAAAAGCTGGCGTTTAAAAAAGCCTCTCGAGAAATCATAACCCTTGGTATGACAAATGCCGATGTTATGAACATTTAGCGCCATCAATTACAGGACCTCCGCCAACCCCCTGCATTTCTCACCCATTGCAGCTTGACTGTGAACTTTCGAAAGACTTACTTCAAGTCTGCGGCTATTAGATTAAATCCATTGTAAAGGTGTCCTTCTAAGGCCACTTTCTTCAAGTAAGAGTAGCTGTCCACATCCGAAGTCAAAAAATTTGTCACGAGGGCACCTGCAGAGAATAATGGTGGAGGGGGGCGGCAGGAGAAAGGAGAGTTAAGAGTTGGAGAGAATGATTTCCTATGAGAGACACGGCTATTTCACCTCACTCGGCTAGCTCGACTCTCTTTCAGAAATGAATAAGCTCTCAGGCTTGCTATTACCAAGGGCAAAGCATGAAAGCCGAGCACATAACTTTGATCAATTATGTACTGGGCTCACCATTAATACATTACCCTTTACATTATCAGTCAATATTTTAGCTGCTCAAATATTTTTATCCATATTTTGTACAAGGGAAGAACCCTGCATCAATCGCACCCATCCATCTAGGTGTGGGAATCCTTATCGGAGGGCAACAGAATTTCCAGCCGATTCTTTCTGCCTCCCACCCCCCAACTCTGCCCCATGGCTCTTTAACACGCTGGCTCTGAGAACTCATCTCACTCCCTTCTGAGAACTCCTGAAGTGAATTTCTGTGATTGCCTTTGTTGCAATAAATTCAAATCTTTGTGCTTGCCGTGTGGGTAAATAAATTTTGAAAAGCCATTCACCACCCTCCACCCCATTCTCAGCATCCCTAAATGTTATATCCAGTTGTTAAGAATTCTGTCCAATTCTGCTGTGAAAACATACCGTTTTGCACCCTTTTTCTTGTTCTTATGTACATATGGGCTCAATCCATTTTGAGTCCATAGGCAGACAGGATCCATGTACACATACAGAGAAGGGAATCCCTATTGACAAAAATCCAGCTCTCTGGGGTGGGTATCAGCTTGACACACATGTGGAACTTCAGACTCCATCACAATACCTTTTTATCAATGTACACACTGTATGTTGGTTAGCAGGGATGGCCTTTTTAAAATACTTCTCAAGATTGGATGTCCACCTCGACTCCTTAACATCATCAGGTCCTTCCATGAGGGAATGAAAGGCACTGCAGTGTTTGATGGCTCAACATCAGATCCCTTTGACATCCGAAGCTGAGTGAAACAGGGCTGTGTCCTCGCGCCGACCCTGTTTAGGATCTTTTTTGCTGTCACGCTGAAGCATGCCTTTGGAACTGCAACATAAGGTGTCTATCTCCGGACTAGATCAGACAGAAAGCTCTTTAATCTCTCTAGATTGAGAGCGAGGACCAAAGTCCAACTGAAATGCATATGGGACTTCCTCTTCGCCGATGATGCAGCCATTGTTGCCCATCCTACTGAAGACCTCCAACAATTCATGAGTCATTTTAGTAAGGCCTGTCAAGACTTTGGACTAGCAATCAGCCTGAAGAAAACACAAGGCATGGGCCAGGGCATGGACTCACCTCCCTCTATTACCACCTCCATGCAAGAATTGGAAGTTGTTCATGACTTTGTGTACCTTGGCTCAAGGATCTCTGACACTCTGTCCCTAGATGTCGAGCTGGACAAACACACTGGCAAAGCAGCTCACAAAGACTGTATGGCTCAATAAGAAGCTCATGACATATACCACGATCCAAGTTTATACAGCCTGTGTCCTGAGCACATTCCTCTACTGCAGTGAGTCCTGGACCCTTTGTGCACGGCAGGAGAGGAAGCTGAACACAGTTCCATATGCGTTGTCTCTGACACATTTTTGGTATCATCTGGGAGGACAAAGTAGTCCTAGAACAAGCTAGAATTTTTAGCATGTATACATTACTGAACCAGCAACGTCTATGTTGGCGTGGGCACGTCGTGAGAATGGCTGATGGCTGGATTCCAAAGATCTCCTGTATGGAGAATGAGTGCAGGGGAACTGCCCCAGAGGGCGACCACAGCTGCGATACAAGGATATCTGCAAGCAGGATCTGAAGGCCTTAGGAATAGACCTCAACAGATGGGAAACTCTGACATCTGAGCGTTCAGCCTGGAGGCAAGTGGTGCATCATGGCCTCTTCCAATTTGAAGAGACCCTTGTCCAGCAGGCCGAGGCAAATAGGCAGTTCTGAAACCAGCAAAACCAGGGAGCTGGACAGGGGACAGATTGTATTCGTCTTCAGTGTGGAAGGGATTGTCAGTCTCGAATTGATCTTCTCAGCCACACTAGACACTGTTCCAAGACCTCTGTTCAGAGCATATTACCATAGTCTCTCGAGTCTGAAGGATGCCTACACACACACACTGTATGTTTCCATGTCATCAAAATCATGATATGACACATACAGCTTCCTCAGCCTCTGCAGCTGCTTCTACGTACCTCATACCTACCTCTTCCTTTTGCATCCTTGTCTATCTTTGGCTGCATGTAGTTGGTCAGGGCCGCCATTTTACCTTTCTTGCTGATTCCAAGCCAGGTCCCCCCTTCTTTCCCTTCTTCCATGTCCAAGCCTATGGTAAGAAGGTAACAAACCACATTAAAATGATAAGAAGCATTACCTGATCTCTGTACAAGAGGTTTTGCAATTTCAACTAATTATCTGAATTGCTCTCACGGGCTGTCAAGTCACTTCTGACTTATGGTGACCCTAACAGGATTATAAAAGTATGTGAGATGTTCAAGGAACAGTTTCTTATTGTCACTTATCATTGACATTCCATGGATGAGTGAAGATTTGGAGCCATATCTCCAGAGTCCTGGTCTGAAATTCTACCAACCAGGCATTCCCAACCTTGACTCCCCAGATGTTCTTGGACTAGAACTCCCAGAAATTCTGGGCCAGCACAGCCAGTGGTGAAGGCTTCTGGAAGTTGCAGTCCAAGAATATCTGGGGGACCCATGGTTGGGAATCACTGATCTACATTACACCAGCTTTCCCGTTATCCAAGTCCCTCTTCTATTTTAGAGACGAAAACAGGCAGATGCGTATTAACAACCCACCACCTTAAGTTGTGTAAAAATGCATCGACTTAGGAAGTGGTTTTGCCGATGGCTCTAGATCAGTGGTCTCCAACCTTGGGCCTCCAGATGTTCTTGGACTACAACTCCCAGAAGCCTTCACCGCCACCTCTGCTGGCCAGGATTTCTGGGAGCTGAAGTCCAAGAAAATATAACATCTGGAGGCCCAAGGTTGGGGACCACTGCTCTAGATTACCCGGCAATCTCAGTGGATGAGCACATTTTTCCCGTCACAAAACCCAAAGCAGGGGTTGATCTGTAAACAGAAACAAAAAGGACAGCCCCACTAATATCTACCTCCCAGAGGGCTGTGAGACCTACTTCTCTAGTACAGGAAACTTTCTAATTCTTTATGTTTTTTCCAGGATACATAAACTTGTTTCT